GGAGTGTCCGTTGATCACATTGGTATCCGGCGGCTGGCGGGCCCCCTCATCTCTGCGCCGGGAGTGTCGGAAAGACCCGACACTCCCGGCGCAGAGATGAGGGGGTGGGGGTGGGGTTATCAATACGTGCATTGCTTACAGCTCCCTCACATGCCCTGTAGAGGTGCCGGGACTGTTAGTGACATCACATTCTGGCTCCCGGCACCTCTACAGGGCATAAAAGGGAGTTGCACAAACAATATAAGATAGGGAGACTAGGTGCATCTTAATTCTGGTGTGGGAGGTGCATTGCCATTCATTTCAATGGCACCCCAAACACACCTCCCACCCACAGTTAAATCACCTGCACCAAGACGCACGGTACCGCAATGCCGTACGTTACATTGCAGTGCGACTTGGGTCACGACTTAATGACCGAGGACAAATATGGGTCCTGAGGTTACACAGGTTGAGAACCACTGATCTAGAGCAGTGTTTCTCAACCTCCCAAATGCTTGAGGGGCTATTTGCCCACTGACACCAATGATGTGGGGAGCTATTCGTCCCTGGATGGGGGGGACACTATCTATCCCACTGACCCCAATTATTTGAGGGGCTATTCTTTCTTCAGGGCCACTATCCCACCAACACCAATTAACCGAAGAGCTATTCTTCACTGGGGGGCAATATTCCACTGACTCCAATGTTTCTGAGCGCTATTTTTTTTCCTGGGGGCCACTATCCCACAAACACCAATTAATTGAGATGCTAGTCTTCCCCGGTGGCCATGATCCCACTGACAACAATGATTTAGGAGCTATTCTTCCTCAGGGGCCACTATCCCACTGACACCAATGATTTTGGGGGGGGCTATTCTTTCCTTGGGGCCACTATCCCACCAACACCAATTAACTGAAGGTCTATTCTTCCCTGGTGGCCATGATCCTACTGACACCAAGGATTTGGGTAGCTATTTTTCCCTGGAGTGCAACATTCTACTGACCCCAATGATTTTGAGAGCAATTTTGTTTTCCTGGGGGCCACTATTCCATGAACACCAATTAATTGAGAAGCTAGTCTTCCCTGGTGGCCATGATCCCATTGACTCCAATGATTTAGGAGCAACTCTTCCTCAGGGGTCACTATCCCACCAACATCACTTAAGTGAAGAGCTATTCTTCCCTTGTGGCCATGACCCCACTGATTTGGGGGGGTATTCTTTCCAAAATGGAGGGGGCACTAT